TGAATCAGGGTCGACCCCTGTAGTGAAATTGCAATCGCTTGTCAACCTGATGGAGAGAAAGATGTCTGGACCAGGGGGCATTGAGGTAATTTCCCTCTTTTCATCTCTTATCCCATAGGGGACAGAACTGTAAAATTAAATTTACAATAATCCTCTTCTTTGAAGTGTGTATATAGCCACAACATGTTTTTTTTTTTAAGTTTGGCTGTATCAGGGAAAGGTTAATATTCTTGTAAATTTCTTTGGTGCTGGCTGTGTCTCAATGAAGAGATTTACCTTAGCTGTCACCGTAACAAGTTTCACCATTGGAAAATGTACCCTTGCCTCTTCTCTTGTTCTAGTGACAACACTAACATTTTGGATTTCCCCTGACTTTCTTTTGCAACAACAGGGATTCTAATTCTTCCATACTCTACTGTGAAACAACAAAAAAGAGAGTTTGAGGTATTAATACATTTTAAATTGTTATAATTGTTCAGTATTATAAAAGACTTGTATTTGCTCTTGTATTTGAGTATGACTACAGGCTATAGGCTCCGAGGTTTTTTTATTCAATTATCCTCTAGACTTAAGCTTCTCATGAAGAGTTGACTTCTGCCAAAACTAGGGAATATGAAGCTTTGCTAGCTCAACACAAGAATAGCCCATCTGCTACTCAAGGTGGAGCACGCTCGACTAGAACTTAACCTTTGCAGCACCACAAAAGCGGAAAAACAGCTACGATGCCTGAATCTTAACTTGTTTATGTGGTAGGACAAACCTGGTTCTCTCTTAGCATGTAAGCTTTCTCCTGAACACACCTAATCGGCCCTTCCTAAACTTCAGAGGTCAAATTTCACAGGATCTTCAGAAAATCCTTCAGGAATTTAATAAGTTCTATACTACTTTATATAGCCAACCCCAGCCTGTTGAGCCCTCTTTGCTTTAAGATTGTTTCGGACCTTTGCTGCTTCCAAGCATTGCCGAAGCTCACAGAGAACTCATGGAACAGCCTATAACTAGCGAAGAACTAGGTAGGGTTCTTAAAATGCTGATATCACATAAATCCCCTGGCCCTGACAGCTTATCGAATATTTACTATAGGTCCTCATGCACTGCACTATTGATGTTTTTACAGCTGCTGTTTTTGGCTTTTGACGTTTTTTTCTACAGCTAGTAAACCCCCCTGCATGTTTTCCTATGTGTCCATGCACACATAGACTGTAACAAACATTTTTTGGCTGGAAAAAAACCTCAAGACTAGTGGGTTTCTAGAGGAGTTGTTTAGCTGTAAAAATGCTCTAACACTGAAAAATTCTGAAAAACGCGGTAAAGCGCCACTAAACGCTAATGCAAAAATGCTAAAAAACTCACATTTTTAACGTGACTTTACACAACTAACATTATCAGCATTATCAAAATGTCCCGTGTGCATGAGGACTAAAACTTTCTCTGAACAGCTTCTCCCCCATATGGCTCTTTACTTCAATTCCCTGAGAGAACAGTGTGATCCCTTTGGACGAAAATAAGGCTTATATTAGTGTTATCCCTAAGGCTAACAAGGACACTACAGATATTCTTAACTATAGACCTATCTCGCTTATTAACAGCGACCTGAAAATCCTGACAAAACTTCTGGCCTTGTGCCTTAATTCTTTTCTAGCACAATATATTCAGAAAGATCAATCAGGTTTTATACCTGTCGTCAAACGTTAGATCAAATTTGCAGGTCCATAGCTTTGATTTCTGCTGTCCGCTCTAATTGGGATGCCTGTCTCTCTGGAACTGTTGGTCCTCTCTTTAGACCTTCAGAAAGCTTTCGATAGCTTAACTTGGGACTATTTGTTCATTATGTTGAAAGCTTTTGGATTTGGTCCTACATTTCTTACTCTATTACAGTCTAGTACTACACACCCTCGGCTCAAGTGTCCATTAGAGGTTATAGATCCCCATATTTCCAATTCGTCACACTAGACAAGGTTGTCCACTCTCTGCTTTACTTTTTGCACTTGCCATAGAACCCTTAGCTATGGCAATACGCTCTCACTTTGGTATTCACGGGATCCACTGTGGTCCTCAGGAACATAAATGCGATTTATTTGCTGACGACGTTTTAATGTATATTTCCTCCCCTCTGATTACCATACCTAATCTACAATCTCTTTTGCACCATTTCTCTGAACTCTCTGGGTTCTCTTTAAACCCTCGAAAGATGACAGCCCTTAATGTTTTGTTGCTCTCTTTCATGGAACGACAACTTAGGAATATGTATGATTTTCAATGGAACACCAATTCCTTACCATATTTAGGGATTCATTTGACGGCTTCCATCGAGACTCTTTACCAAGCTAATTATCCTCCTCTTTTCAAACACCTTAAAGAGGACCTCTGTCGTTGGGCAACTTACTCCATTTTTTGGCTTGGCAGGATCAACTCAATTAAAATGACGTTATTGCCCCGATTATTATATTTTTTTTAGGATCTTACTAAATCCGATTCCGAGACATGAGCTACAACATTTACAGGCCAAGGTGCTTTGTTTTGGTTGGAACCATAGAAGGCCCCGGATGAACCAAAAAATGCTATACATCTTGAAATCTCAAGGTGGCATTGGCCTCCCTAATCTCCATACATATTTCCAAGCCACCCAAATTGCACAATTGGCCTATACTACCGCTAAGGGATCGATTTCCCTTTGGGTTTCTATTGAAGCTCTTTCCTGTCATCCTTTGGTTAGTGTTGGTGCTCTACTTTGGCTCCCTAGTTGATCTCGCCCTCCCATATTATGTCCTACATTATCTTTCCTCATTGTCAGTCTGGGATAGGGTATGCCAATCCAAATCCATAGCCTCCTTGCACACACCTTTAGCCCCTGTATTTTGTAATCCTGAATTTATACCTGGCCTGGTCCCATCTGCGTTCCAATGGTGGATTAATAAAGGGTTACTGAGGATAGGAGACTTCCTCCTGGGTGCCAAATCTATTCTCTTCAATATTTCAAGGATAAATTGCAAATACCTTATCAAATTGCCTCTTTTATCCGCTCGAAAATTGTCTTATTGGATGAAACACCCATTCTTACCTCTTTCGAAGTTTACTGTCAAGGTAACAATTTTTCTAGAGGCTGTATTTCTATGGTGTATGCCCTTATCGCTGATCCAATTTGTAAACTCCCCTATATGGACCAATGGAAACAGGACCTGACTATCAGTTATGATATATCAGACTGGCAAGATATAGCCTTAGCATTATCCAAAGTTTCTATCAACACCACCTTAATTGAAGCAAACTATAAAATATTAATGAGGTGGCACCTGGTTCCAACTCGGATTGTAAAAATGCATCCGCTTACTTCCCCAATGTGCTTTTGGCGATGTGGCCAGGTGGGATCTATGTTTCATGTCTGTGGCAATGCCCAATAGTAACTAGATTTTGGATCTGCATATTTAGTTTAATCTATACGGTGATGGGGGTGAATATCCGTAGGGCTCTAGAGACATCCCTCTTCCATAAATATCCCACTACCATTCCAAAGAACTCCCTTAAGCTGCTTACCTATATGCTATTAGCACCAAGAATTGCTATAGCTAAACATTGGCAGAGTTCTCTTACTCCACTTGAATATGTTAAAACTAAATTGAACTGGATCATGATCAATGACAAGCATGCATGTATTCTACACAATAATGCTACTAAATTTGACAAAACATGGGACCCATGGATTCAATACATCTCTGTACCTTGATCCTTCCCGAGGTGACCCTCTTCTTCTTTCTCTTCTCTTATTTTTATTTCTTTCTTTTCTTACTTTATTAGGTCTTTTCTCACTCCTCCGTGTAATGTGGTTAGATGAGCCCCATTTATATTTGTTCTACAACTTTTTCCTAATTCTTCATGAAGCTACAAGTATTGAGTCTTATTCTTGTGATATATCATGACATTTGTCTTTGATGTTATTTGTATTTTGAAAACTTTTCAATAAAATTCTTTGGAAAATAAAAACCTTGTGAAAGATCATGATTTGTACTTATCAGTTCTGCTTCCTGTGCTTCAGCTTTTCGCACCTGAAGAGCTACATGGGCAGAAGAATCATCGTAGTGGCATAGCAGCCAGGGTATAGAACCACAATGTGCAATGGTGGACTAGTGGTAGCATTCCATAGTTCTGAAAGTGTGTCAGATGCAGTAGGTTCTTCAGCCCACATAGCTCCTTATGAGAGCAGAGGGCAGAGCCATAGGTGTTTGGACAGTTAGGCTACATTTACAAGGTTTTCTAAAAAATGTTTTTCCCATTATAAAGTCCTGTTGCGATGAACGTAAGCAACAGCAGAACTATAGGGCTGGTATTTGATATTGTTATGGTTATATGAAAGCTGGAAGCGGCTCCTCTGAAAAACGATCTGAGTGTGTTTGACAGGTGGTGAAGAGGCAATATATTGCCTCTTCACCACCTCATTTAAACCCATGATTGCTGTGCCATGCATGCCATACATGGTAGTAAGGCAATTAGAGGTTTAAAACAGCTGTGAGGAGGTGATACTGTGCCCCATGATCTTTGACTTCTCCCATGTTGTTCAGGTAGATCTCCACCTCGTTAATGTTGCCTATCCTTGGTCTACGCTATAAAAATATCTGTGAAAAATAAATACATTTGTGTCTCACACATCTCCCCCCTCTCCCCGGGCACTACAGCTTACAGTGGAAAGGTTTGTACCATACTTCACCCCTCTGGCAGGGCAGCAGACCTGTTTATTCTGCAGTTCAGTAACACTTACAGGGCTTGTCCCTCCCCCAACGTGTGACTGGGCAATGAACGTAGAAGCAGTAGACAGACAATCTCCCCTCTCTGTCACAAAAATATATTGCTTATCCCCAGGGCCAGTGCTAGACTAGGCAAGACCAGCTAACTGTACCCCCCCCCCCCCAAAAAAAAAAGAAAAAGAAAATTTTTAAAAAACAGTAGAAAATATTAAATCAACAAACATGAAACTGCTAAATTACTTTTAATTAGCAAAAATGAGTGCCATAAGATGCCACCAGCACCAAAATTAAAGACAAAATGAGTGTCACCGAAGCACTGTATCTATGGCTGGCAGTGGCAGGGTGACAGTTGCAGTGAGTGGAGGATGATGGATCCACATTCTGACAGCTCCCAGGCTGGAATGGGGGGAGAAAAAAAATGCTGTGACAGCAGACAGCCCAGCCTACACACACAGAGAAAACACCTGAACTGAGCGATCCCACAGAGTGACAGATGCGAAAAAACATACCAACACCAACACTGATCACCAGGTCCAGCAGGCACTAAAAGAGCAGGCTGTGGGATTGTGATGATGTCATCACTCACGGACACATTGCACATGTGATGGATGGCCAGTTGGCCGGCTGGGTCACAATCACAGATACAAGACATCAGAGTCAAACATTACCTTCTTTCGCAGGCGCAGCTACACCTCCATTGATGAATGGGAAGCGAAGTGCTGGAACTCCACAGTGATCATCAGCAGCCACCAGCCGGCTTGCAGTAAGGGACTGAGTCTGGCCCCAGACACCCAGCATCTTCCTCTGTCCTTTCTTCCTCACCTCTGCTGCCCCTCCCCTCAGCCTAAGGATCATTCATGATATGGCTGGCAGCATTCCACACAAAGAGAGTACCAGCCTGTGCTGGGCCCAGGTGCCCCTAGGTGGCAATGCACCCTAGGTGACCGCCTAGTTTGCATAATGGAGGAACTGGCCCTGCTCAGCTGCTACTCTGGCCCTAGACAACTGGCATCTTCCTTTGTCCTTTCTTCCTCCCCTTTGACACCCCTCCTCTGAGCTGAAGGATTATTCATGATGTGGTGGCGTCCCACGCAGAGAGTGATGCCCTGTGCTGTGCCCAGGTGCACCTAGGTGGCAGCGCACCCTAAGCGGCTTCCTGGTTTGCCTAGTGGAAGCACTGTCCCTGCTTATCTCACCGGATGTTGACAATTTCACTATTCACAAACAATTCAGAGCAATTACAAAAGGGTGGTCCTCCCAATATATTGAAGGCCACACGGGCACTGTAAAAGATAAGAATATGAGGACAGTCAGACTGACATTCACTTTTTAGATTTGAAGATTTTGAGAATGATGGTTTCATTACTTCGGACATCCTTTAAACCTACCGATCACAATGCCTACATTCCAACAGACAGTTGCCACTATAAACTGTGGTTAGCATCAATCCTGCGTAGTCAATTTCTATGCATTAGGAGAAACTGTACTAATACTGGGGGTTATTGCTCACAGGCATTAATGTTAAAGAATAGATTTTTAGAGAAAGGTTATAGTTCGGTAAGTCTTGATGCGGAATTGGGTTCAATTGAGAGGCTAGATAGGAGGGATCTCTTTTCGGAGAGACTGGTAAAAGATAATAATACTAGTGGGTTTGTTTGCCCATTTATCACTTCCTATTCAGTACAGCACAATTCCATTAACAGAATATTAAAAAAACATTGACACATTTTGCACAATGATGGAATTTTGCGGTGCAATGATGGAATTTTGGGGCGTATTTTACCCTCTAAACCACAAGTGATCTTTCGTGGTGTTCTGTCACTGCGTAACAAGGTTGCCCCTAATGTATATGATCCCCCTCGCCGTACCACCTTCTTTCAGAATCTAAAGGGTTTCTATAAATACAAAAGGTGCTCAATATGTCAAATTAATATATGTTCACGCAACGGCACCATGTCCTTTGTGTCTACTGCCGCATCTAGGAATCACTCTATTGTACCTTTCATTACCTGTACTTCCTCTAATGTAGTTTATCTTTTACAGTGCCCGTGTGGCCTTCAATATATTGGGAGGACCACCCGTACTCTCCAAATTAGATTGGGGAACATGGGGAATATCAAGAGAGGTTTCAAAGGGCATAGTGTCTCTAGACACTATGCTAAATTCCATAGTAAGGATCCCACTGGTACTTTATTTTGAGGAATTGATAAATTCACTCCACATTGGCGAGAGAGTGCTATAAGGAGGGAAATCTCCAAACTCAAGACCACGTGGATACATAATGTTAAATGTTATGAGCCTTATGGAATGAATGTGGATTGGGATATCAATGCATTTATCAATAGTGCTTGATGGGCATTTTTGTCCTTTATATTTTTTATTTTTTCTTTTATATCACTTTTCATTCACCTCATTTCTGTTAGGGACCATTAGGTTGGGTCCATGGTCATATGGGTTCCTTTGTAGCTTATCTCCATTTTTTAGTTTTCTGTATATTTTTTTATAAATTTTAATAGATTTTTTACTTTTTATTTATTTATGAACAATGAATAATTGTTTAATAGATTACTATTATGGGCCTTATGGTCAATATGGCCTATATTTGAATCATACATGTTGTTTTGTATGTTTTTCTTTTTTCCTTTTTTATGTTGAACACTAGATGGCGTTTCAGCTAGCAGATTATATAATTATAATTCTGTCTTCTAATTTGGAATATTTTATCCACTTTAATGTGTAATCATCGATTTAGTATACATTGGACCTTCTATATTTTTAATTAATATTTATCTATTGATTGCCGTAAGAATTTTTGTTTATTTGGGCTGGACTGCAGATTTTCGGTTATGAATCGAGAGCGAGGTCTGGTTTATTCCAGCCCACTATTGACATCTTTTGCGGTTCAGACATATCTTTTTTAGTTCCTTGTAATCAATTGTGTTTATTCCAAATTGAGGATTGGTTCTGGATGCGATGGCTTCCTGTTCCTGTGTAGGATTGAAATTAGTTTTATTCCAAATTGAGGCTTGGTTTGTTCATATTTAAGCACGGTGATGGAGGGCAGCTCCTTAAGCCCCAAAAGATGTCTTTTGATGATGAAACACGTCGTTCGGAGCCTCCCTCTGATGTCATCGTGCTGTCCGCTATTTTGGAAACTGTGAATGCTGTTATTCCTCTTTATATCTGTAAGTAGGATTTTATATTTGCGCAATAAAGGCAAATTGGTTTTACTGTACTATAAGAGGCATGTTTTATTTTCCATGATACTGTCCCGACAACGCCAAGGGAATGGCGTACTAATCTAAGGGGAACCTGGATTCAGATTTGACTTAGAAGTCTGGATGGCATTATATTGACACAAAGCATTTAATGATCCCCTGATTATTTGGTAAGCCTCCATTTTGTCCACATGGTGGTGGTTTTTTCACGTTGGTGACTAGTTGGACGGAAAGAAGATTTGCACATATATACCAGTGATGGCGAAACTTTTTAAGCCCGAGTGCCCAAACTGCAACAAAAAACCAACTAATTAATTTCAAAGTGCCAACACTGCTATTAAACCTGAATGATTCTCTCAACCCCTTCTTTGTTGGTTGGTTTGTAGTTTGGCTTTTTGTCTGAGGTAATTTGCAGAGTTTTGGGGAATCCATTGGTAATTGGGCAGTATTTCAAACATCCCAGTACCAGTCTGGGCGGTCCAGTAGTGGTAGCTGATGTTCTGTACTGTAACTTGGAGGTCTTATTTGGTTACGTAGATTGTTCTTCTTCCAACAGTAACGCTTAAACAAAATGGAAAAGGCAAACAGTACTGGATGCCTTTCACCCTAAGTTGTTCCAGGAGGGTTATTTGTTCATTGTTTCTGGCCCTGTTTAGGATTTCCTCTTTTGGTTGCTCAAACAGCATCTTACCTCTCGGTAAGTCTTTGGACAAGTTCTGTGGTCTTGTGGCTTTGAGAATGTAATCAAATTTCACTGGGGATTCCAAGGGTCACTACAATAAATAGTTGATTATAGTCTGGACGCAGGTCAAAGTTGATTTGGTAGCATCGATTTCGGAATCCCTGATTCTTTTATTGTGGTGGCAACCCCTATCAAGATCATTTAGATATCTGTTAAAGTCAGTGGGTGTATGGCATGGGCAGCACAGTGGCTAAATGGTTAGCACTTCCACCTGGCAGTACTAGGGTTGTTGGTTCGAATCCAAGCCGCGGCACCTCCTGCCTGGAGTTTGCATGTTCTCCCTGTGCCTGTGTGGGTTTCTTCTGGGTACTCTGGTTTCCCCCACACTCCAAAGATATGCTGGTAGGTTAATTTGCTCCTGTCTAAATTGGCCCTTGTATATGAATGTGAGTTAGGGACCTTAGATTGTTTGCCCCTTGAGGGTTAGGGACTGATTTGAATGTACAATATATATGTAAAGCGCTGCATAAATTGACAGTGCTATATAAGTACCTGAAATAAATAAATATGTTACCTTACTGTGATGTCACTGGTTCCTTTTCTTCCTGCCCTTGACTGCTCCCTGCTCCATCCAAGTAGGTATACATTACTAGTGATGAGCCAGACTTCCCTAGGTTCGGTTTGAGCAGGGTTGGGCGAATTTCAAAGAAGTTCAGATGCTGAACCCAAACCCCCACTGAAATCAATAAAACCTGCATCTGTTAAATTAAAAATGCCCATTTTCTGAACTAATAGTTAAGGGGTGTAAAAAAAGAAAGCATGGGGAAGGGGTGGGCACTGACCTGGAGAGCATGTACCAATGCAAAATAAAATTTGGCCAGGAGCAAAGATTTAATAAATGCTTAAAGTGAAAATCCCCACATCCTTTTAATAAGATGCCAGAGGGTACTCTAATTCTGCTTGTGAAGGGGCGCGCATGTCTGTGATGTACAGAAAGTGCTGCAGAAGACCCTCTCCTAAGGTCTGCTATGTATGTATTGCTATGTATTTTGGGGGACATTTGGAAGGGTCTGTGTGCTGCTGCAAAAAATTGCATACAGCCTTCCCAACATACAGTACATCTTAGATCCTTGAGTTTGGTCTGGATTTTAAGGGTGTGAGGTTCCCCAGACCCTTAATCTGAGCATGTAGCCTGGCTGGCCAAGAAAGGGGGGGGGGCCTGCAGATCTTCTGAACCATATCAGGCCTCATGCCCCCAACATGGGTGGTGCTTTTCCTCATATTTAGGGAGTCATTTAAATATTTTAATCTCCGCCCATTTGCTGTGAGTGGGTGACTTCAGTGATTAGTAAATACGCTTCTTCCTTAGCAACCATTGACAGCCGGAAGCAGTCATGTGTGTTCATGCCAAATGTCATTAACATTCAGTGTTTGAACAGCCAGTGTTTGATCCGTACTTCAGACCAAACACTGAGCTCATCCTTAGACATTACCAGAAGTTCTGCCTGTATATCTGTTACTGCAGCAGAAAGCATGGTTTTAACCACTTGAGCTCCAGAGGATTTTACCCCCATAACCAGGCCATTTTTAACTGGCGAGTGTGCGCAGTCATACAATGCTATACACAACTTTAAATAATTTTTTTCCCACAAATAGAGCTTTATTTTGGTGGCATTTAATCACCAGTGGGTTTTTTATTTT